ATTTGTTTCTGTCGCTCTTTTTTTTCCATTGTAGTATTCTGACTGATAGAAGACGATCTAGGGGAGTGTTGGTTGATCAGCTTTATATATTTCTTCTGAATATGATATACCTGGCCTGTGAGAAAGATCAGTGTTACCTTTATCAGTGTTGGCATCGTTGATTCTGATTATCATACGCCTCTCAATGTCAAACTTGTGCTCTGTATTCTGCTTGATGCAATTTAGTGGCGTCTTCTGGATTGTTTTTAAGTCGTCCGATTATATATTCATCAAGGACGTTGAAAAAAAGGGCTTCACCTTGAATATTTAGCCCAAAAAGGAAAAGTTGAAAGACTGTTGTTTGCTATTTCCTTCAAACATAAACTTCTGTGTGTTAAATACAACATGAGTGTTATTTTCTAAGGTTTCAGAACTTAACTTGAGGTCTATTTCAGAAAAACTCTCCTTCTTCTGTCTAGATAAGGCTGCATCCAGTTTCTTTGAGAATAGGGATAATGCATCCTCTGGAGAAAGATGATAGTCAGATCTTGGCTCTAATCGAATTCCTTTATTGTGAATATCAGGTTCGCGAGATATTTCGTCTCCGTCTCTCATGTCTGAACTTAAATATGCGAAACTGGATTTGGTTTTTGTTTGATAATTATAAAAAGGCGCCATAAGAATTATATAAAGTCCACAACCGATATCCTTCTTATTACGCAACAAGTGGATATAAATATTTTAATAAACAATAAATATTGTTCTATATTGTTAATTTATATATATGTCCCTATGCCCATGCTTCAATATCCAAAGGTATGGTTCTGAACACAAGGTTGTTTCGAAATTTCTATCAAATACTACTTCGAAGACTTGTGTATGCAAGAGAAACTTTTTAATAAAGTGTTTCGGATATGTTGTGTTGCATTGATATGAAATTAACGAGTTCTCGAGTTCTACATATTTCACATTAGCCACAATCATTAAACACATACATCATATATAGCTATAATAACATGTAGCATTTACTAGACAATTTATTATTTTTTGTGGCTTACCAATGACCAAACTATACCAGTTTTAATTTGATCTATATTTCAAGGGAACTTATAATAGGTCTCCAAGTATGATAAAACTTTGGGTTGACGTTCGCATCCATTGCATAATACATTAATCAAGTATCAGAACTAGAGAAAAATTTCGTCTGTAATATTTTAATTTTTAAAACCATATATCCCTCAAGTACATGTTGAAAATAAGAACAACCGACCAATGCATTAAATAGCTTCATATTAGAATCAATAAGAAGACGAGTATTCCGATTGAGCAGAAGTATCAATCGAATACCACATAAATTTGCTTTAAAATAACCATAACATATACCTCCTACACCTGGTGAAATGACCCCAATCTAGACAACACTTTGTGACAAAATTTGTTCAACCATATCACAGCATTGGACTTTTTTTAGAACGTTTTAAGTATATTTCGTGCTTCGAGAAAGTCAACAAGTTTAACCTTTCCAAAGAGAAATTGAGCGTTTGGAGTATTGAGTTGGTCTTTGGGTGATTTTTAAATTAACTCAAGGTTTTGTTTTGGTGTTTGTGTAATTTTTTTATTAACATAAAGTTTTAGTTTGGTGTTTGTGTGATTTGTAAATTAACGTTAGGTTTTTGTTTGTTTGTGTGATTTTTAAATTTACGAAAAGTTTTGTTTTTGTGTTTGTGTGATTTTTGGGAGGTAGAGACGATGTTTTTAATCTCAATTTTTATGTAGCTATTAGTTTCACTTATTCATTTTCGGAAACTTTTATTTGGGTTTCAGTAACTTTATTAACAGTTATATGGCACAAAGTGCAATCAAACTAGGAATAGACTAACCTGGAATCCTGATGAAATAATTTCGATTTCGGCTTTCAGTTTCTATTCAAGTAATTGAATATTATTCACCGGGCGTCGACTAAAAAATTTGTAACGTACAAGATAAGCCAACTCCCCCCCCCCCCCCCAAAGAAAATAAATACACCCCCCCCCTCCCAAAAAAAAATAAAATAAATAGAACTCCCGACCCCCCCCCCCCCAAAAAAAAAAAAAAATTAATAAATTCCTCAAAACTATATGTACAATTGAAAAATAAAATTAGATAAAACTATATTCATTTGATAACTATCAAAAGTTAAGAGTAGGAAATATGGATTAGACGAGATTCTGGTATCATCCTTTTCAAATAATACATGATGGTCTTAAAGTATAGACTCTTGGTACTGACGTTGTTTTTCATCTTAACTACGTGTTATAGTGTTCTTTCATTTGTCTTTGAATATTTGTAACCTTTACTTTTTAGTCCTTTTTTTGGTAATATCCGTTTGGGGTTTTGATTTTTTTATTCGATAAAGGACTTTCCATTTTGCATTTTCCTTGGAGTTCTTTTTTTTTGTTTGTTATTATACTTTTCTTTTAAATCCTGTACTGTTCTGAATGAAACTATTTGTTGTGGCCATTGATTCGAATTTATAACTACGCGGATAAAACAACTATTTATAGATGACTTTAGATGTTTATATTAGCTACATTTCACAAGGATCCCAGACTAGGAATGAATTGTGAACCAAAAAATGTGATCCATCCGTTCCAAAGGTCATGAAAACAGGACAATGATAAGAAAAAAGTATTAACAAACATACCGAACTCCAAAGTTCCATTAAACCTGACAAAATCAAAAGTTAGACCCCATCAACCAACGGAACGAATGAAAAACAACTGTCATATTCCTGATTTGGTACAGGCAATTTCCGAAGATAATAATGGGTAAAACCTGGTTTTGAACTAGCTACACCTCCCACTAGTATGACAGTTGTTTATAGTTCTGTTATACTGACGTATTGGGTAAGAAACCAAACAACCATCATTGGTTAATGTGACAATAAATAGGATTCATCAGCCAAAACAGGAAATTATTGCAGAAAACAGTTAAAACAAAATAACTTATTCATTAGACCCGAAAGTGTCTATCCGGATCTCCTTGATAAGTTTGACACGCGATACAGTTTGTTCCGAAATAGTTTTTCTATCTTTCTCTTTCATAAATTAAATGATTTCATGTAGAAGTCCATATATATATACACCTTCGATTTTTATCACCTAAAATTTACAGCGAGAGTTACACATAAATTGATGCTTTAAATTAAGTGATTTCCAATGGTAAACACTAAAAATGTTAGTGTAATATACTTGCATGTTGTTTTGTTGTACTCTTTTGAGTGCTTGTCTTAAAAAACACATACTTTCTTAATTGAATAATATGGAAATTTAATAAATTACTCTTTGCAACAAAAATATAATAATTATACATCAGTCATCACTGAGTAAACCCATCATACAGAAAATTTACAAAGTGTTTATCAACTGTCGTTTTTTGTTGTCTATGGTGTTGTTTGTTTTAATTGGACCCATAACTTTGCATCTTAGTTTCTTATCTCTTTTTTTAAATATAAAATATTTAAACACTTTCAAATTTAAAAAAAGAGAAAAAATGCGGATCACCTCCTTTCGTGTTTGCTCATGAAAAAGGTTAGAAGTTACTGATCCAATGTATTGTGTCGCATTATATAAAAAGCTAGAAATTGTTTTCGGTAAAATGGTACAAGTCAAGAAACAGGAAACGAAGTTCGAATTGTGGCTTTCATCTTAAGCGCTCATTATCAAGCGTCGAGTTAGCAAAAGTTCAATTCATATTAGTAATCAATCGAAGAAATTCTTTGATATTGTATTATTGTGAACGCATTAATCCCATCGAACTGAAAATAAAGGATACAATACATACAGTTAAGTCTGCCTTGACTTACATCTAGAAATTGACAATGATGGTCGGTTGAGAACAAAACGTTCGACCATAAAGATGATTTCAGATTCACAGTTGTGAACTTTTATTTCTATGTCTCCCAATTGATACGATATTCCAGGGCTTGCATTTCCTATCAGGATTTCTTTGAAAGAGGGTTGCTGCTCTCAAGAATGTTTTTGCACCAAGAGTTCCAAGTGGGGAAGTTGAAATCATCCCTTCGAAAATGTTACGGATTTCATCACTAGTTGATTGACCGTTATTGAATATCTGTTTTACAGATGAAGAGGGATATGTTCCAATTGTCGTAACCACAATCATGTCCTCTTGTTTCTGTTTTCGACTTATCTCCGGGTTTGTAGTTACATGAGCAACACGAAGGGTGCTACATGAGGAGCAGTATCCCATTACCCCTGGATTTAGTAGGGTTCGTGTTGCTCAGTTTTTAGTTTTCTATGGTGTGTTTTGCATACAGTTGTTTGTCTTTTAGACTTTGTAGTTTTTTGCAATAGAGTAATCAGTTTATTTTCGAATAATGAGTTTGAATATCCTTTTGGTATCTTTTGCCTCTTTTAATGCTTTAATCGTATTTTTTAAAAAATTTTATTGTATCGGTATTTTCGAGTGAACTTTTATGAACTGATTTTTATTGTATTTTCTTCTTTGCATCATTGATTTTTTAAAATGAAAATGTTCTTAATCATCTGACATTGGAATTAAAACATTGTGTTTTAAACCCTATATTATAGTCATTGACTAAGGCAGGGTGCGTATGGCGTGTTTTGTATTTAAAGCATGTGAGAAGTGTAGTCGATTCTTTTGGAGGATTTTTCTTCTATTTTTTGAATTTCATAATCAATTTTAGAGTTTTAAACATTGGTTAGCTATTATTTTTTTCTTACCTATAGACACTTGTTTGTAGTTGATTGTAGTTTACAGATCTCTTTATGTATTTCGGTTTATGTTTTTGTGTCGCTGTATTATCTACACGTTGACATATACCCTACATCTCATTTTATTCATACCATATTAAAGACAAATGCGTTCTAAGCCCTATTAAGGCGACGAATCCAGTAAAATCTCTTTATTGTTGTCAATGGAAAGATTTAGGGAGGGGGTATATTAAGTCAATCTTTAACAAAGATTCAACTTATTGTAATGCTTTATTTCATTCTGTGATATTTAAAGACGATCGATGTATAATAAACACGTTGTACAAAAATAAATTGACAAAACTAAAGAAACTAAATTAATAATGGTCTTTATGTTTCGGTTCTTGTTTGTTTCCAAATCAGAGTTTTTGACTGTGTCCTCTTCTTGCGACTATTTCTTTCAAAGTTTTACGGAATCTAGTATTAAAGGCAGAATAAATTATAAAATTGAACCCAGTGTTCAACAATAAAAGAAAATCTGTGATTTCCCGTATTCCTCTGACCAGATAAGATGCTTCTCGGTATCCCGTTCGTAACACTGCAGACAGGACCGTATCAGGAGTAGCACAGATGACAAACGATATTATGACCATCAGTAAACACAAAACAGTTCTCCGTTTTCGACTTTTGAACCGACATTGACGTAATCTTTTTATTATTAATAAGCTGAAGACAACCAACAGAATGATTGGAACTACTGATCTAAAAGCGTAATGAAAAATATTGAATGCTGTTGAAAACATCTCGTTTTTCCACAAATTTGAGATCTCTAAAGTTTGGCTTGTTCCATTCGATGCATACACGATGCGATGTTGATATTTAAACAAGTAAGGACTTGATGTTCCAAAGGAAGCCAATGCAATAGCATTTGACAAACAAAAAGCACGAGGTATAGTGCATATGGTCTTCGCCTTAGTGGAATGACAAACAAACAGGTACCGCTCTATCGCAACCGTGACAATCAGCCAAGCTGCGCATGTCATTGACGAGTTGAAGATGTAATGAGCATATGGGTAAAGGGACATGAAATAACGTTCTCCGATGTCGGACGAGATTAAAGTCAGAAGAACAGTGACGAAATACATAATGTCATTACATATCTTAATGATGTCGGTGATAGCTAGGTTCAGAAGAAATATACTAGTAGATGATCTAAGTTTCTTGCGCGTGAAAACAATAATGGTTATGATATTTGCCGGAAGGGCTACAAAACACACAACAGGATACAGAATCAAACCGGAGACTAACCGCATTTTGTTATAAAAATGAAAAATGCTTTGATCGAATGTCTGATTGCTTTTCAAACAAGTAATATTTAGCATCTCCATCACACAAATATTTCAAGGAGCTCACGCAGTTAATCAATTCTGAAAGAGTAAAACAGTAAACTGAAATAAAACAACAATTGGAAAAAAATATATAAACCATATTTTTGTTCTTTAATGTGTTGTTTATTTAAGAAACTAGATGAATAGAAAATTATTAACAAACACTGAACTAGATTTATCTTCAAATGAAATTGAAGCACGGAATAATACAAAATATGGTTGTTGAAAATGTAAAGACTTTTGAAAGCTACTTACCTAGAAACAGATTTCAATAGTAAACCAAAATTCATAAAACATCTGCTTTTTATATCCTAAACATATAATAAGAGGAGCATTGTATAAAGTGGCAATTAATATTGACAGTTTTACTTTATGCATAAACGTAACCTTGTCTTACATAAACAACGTAAAGAAAAGACAAATATAGTTTTATCACAGTTTCTAGTAAGTGTTCAACTACTGATCCACCTGTGCTATTAACTAGTCCTCTTACCAAAATTAAAGAACGTGTTAATAACTTTTATAATATAGCATGTGCTAATATGGTATTAATTATTTTTGGAGATTTACACAATCTTTGGATGAATTCGATAAATTAAGGACTTTTTATGGTCATTTCAATCCGACACTCTACACTGATCTTCTATAAACAATTGTCTCATTTAATCAATGATCCTTTAAAAAATCTGATTATTTGCTGCAACTCCTTTTAAGCCGTCTTCTGTAATGAAAAAAGATAATATGCTAGATAAACTTACTAGAACTATGATGAAAAGGAATAAATCTGTAAATGTTCTCCTTGACAAAATTTATAAACCTTAAGGCAGTAAAATTTATCGACAGGTTGTAGGTATTCATATTGGCAATACGTGCGATCCTTGAATATCATTTGTTCCTGTACTGTGTTGAATGACAGTTTATGGCCAAAAGTCAATAAAACCCGTTGAAATTCCATATGAGTGAAAAATTAAATAACTTACAGTTAACTTTATGATATTTTTTTAATCTAAATAATCCAGAATTCTCTAATTATACTGCAAAGAATTATCCAAGGTGACGTACTCTATATATAAATCTAATTTCATTAATAATAAGTAATTGAAAATAATTTCCAAAATTTTGTCACAGCAAATTCTAATAAACACATTGTCCGTATTTTTATGCCAGTTCCAATGTACTGGCTACTGGGCTTGTGATTCGTATCGAACCAGTGGTAGTAATATCTTACTGCACCAGAATGATATAAATTTAACACCATTGTAAGATCCTTGAACATTCATTTTTTGTTTGGTACAGTAAATCATACCTATATATGTATTGATATTGTCATACATCCTGTCAATATTATGTACTTGTGTTTGTGGCATTCCACAAAGTCATGCTTTTCTCAGACTGTTACGACGTCCTTATGTGTTCTGATTGATACTTTAGTTTGGGAAAACCCGATTCATTTATTAGGTGTAAATGACTTTGGAATATCTTCCAGTAATTTCGAGTTTTCATAGATCGGTTTTTTGTGTCTTTTGTCATTTTTGTGAATTGTTCATGCTTCCTGTAGATTTGATGAGACTAGTCATTTCCAACTAATATTTACAGTTTGTTATTATGCTGTGTGTTTTCAAAATTTCCCGCGTTATGGTTAGGTTTAGCGCTCTGAAACATGCATAAACCCGCCACATCCTTTATGTATACAAATAAGGAGATGTGATATGATAACCAGTGAGACAACTATCCATCAAAGTTCAAATGAAGTGGATGTAAGAAAGTATAGGCTATAGTACGGACTTCAACAATGAGAAAAACTCATACCGTATAGGCGGCTATAAAAGGCCCCGACATAAAAAATATGAAGCAATTTAATTGAGAAAAACTAACGGCATAATTCATAACAAAATAATTTACGAAAAACAAATTTGACAAACATGAACGACAACCATTGGACTACAGGCTCCAGACTTGGGACAGGCACATTCAGAAGATGGCGGAGTTAAACTAGCTTGCTGGCGCAAAACCCTCCCCCTTATCTGAGACAGTGGTGTAACATTACGTCATAAGAGAAAACTATCAAAATCATTTGAAAAAGGCTTAACTCATTAGATCGATACAAAGCAGGAAACATCTAACAAAAACACAGACCGGACGTCGCAGCGCATCTATAGATCCTACAACAAAAAAGACACGTAGTAAACATCTGAGAATACCCACAGTTACTGACAGCTATTTCAAAGCCAATAACAACTAATAAAAAACCATGTATCTAGGACTAACATATCAATCAGTTCACATCCAGCATCCAATGGATTTAGATTAAAGACGTCATTAACAGTCAGAGAAAAACATGACTTTGTGCAATGCCAACATATAGGCATCGACAGATTGTAGTACCGTGAATGTGCATATGTGTATAACAATATTATATAAAATTGAGAATGGAAATGGGGAATGTGTCAAAGAGACAACAACCCGACCATAGAGCAGACAACAGCCGAAGGCCACCAATGGGTCTTCAATGCAACGAGAAACTCCCGCACCCGGAGGCGTCCTTCAGCTGGCCCCTAAACAAATATGTATACTAGTTCAGTGATAATGGACGTCATACTAAACTGCAAATTATACACAAGAAACTAAAATTAAAAATGATACAAGACTAACAAAGGCCAGAGTCTCCTGACTTGTGACAGGCGCAAAAATGCGGCGGGGTTAAACATGTTTTTTGAGATCACAATCCTCCCCCTATACCTCTAGCCAATGTAGAAAACGTACAACAGTACGCACAGTAAAACTCAGTTTAAGAGAAGTCCGAGTCCGATGTCAGAATAGGAAACAAAAACAAAATAAACAAAATGACAATAATACATAAATAACTACAAACTACTAGCAGTTACTGACATGCCAGCTCCAGACCTCAATTAAACTGATTGAAAGATTATGTCTTCATCATATGAATATCAGGCACAATCCCTCCTGTTAGAGGCTTAGTATTATACCATCACAAAATATATGAGAAGAACATAACCGTGTCATGCCAACAACTGGTTTTAGAATAAATATGTTTAATTCCTTATAAGTGAATCAATATTTAAGCCAAAATATGCAATCTTTAATGACCTGACAACAGTATCGTAACTATATCCCTTCTTAATAAGTCTGTTTAAAGGTTTTGTTAGCTTTTGAGGTGAATACTGACATTTGTGTGCTTTGTAAAGAATATTACCATAAAAGATTGGATGTGAAATACCCGAACGTATAAGATGTCTGCATGTTGAGTTATATTTACGAATGATGTCCTTATACCGATGATAAAATTTAGTAAATGTTTTGACTAGTTTATGATATCGAAAAACCCTAGGCGTAATAATTTTTCAGTAATACATAAATTTCTCTCGCTAAAAACTAATACGTTGTTACATACACGAGCGAATCGTACAAGTTGAGATATATAAACACCATAAGATGGTGACAAGGGGACGTCACCATCTAAAAATGGATAATTAACGATAGGAAGTGAAAAATCATCTCTTTTATCATAAATGTTTATATTAAGCTTCCCGTTAATGATATAGATATCAAGATCGAGGAAAAGACAGTGGTCATTGTTAGTATTAGCTTTATTTAAAGTAAGTTCAACAGGATAAATTTCTTTAGTATACATACTGAAGTCTTCATTATTGAGAGCCAATATATCATCCAAATATCTAAAAGTATTGTTAAATTTTTGTATCAGATGTTGTATGGTTTTAATTTACTGATAACAAAATTAATATTTATACCAATAATAACAATATCCAAAGATCTAATTAGAGTGTTGAATTGGTAACCTTTTAGAATAAGTTTATTTAAGGGAATGATAAATATACCCGGATCGTATCTAAATTTTCGGGCTCGGTAAACAACATCCAAATAAAAATTAGGATGTGCTTTTCCGTTTGAAAATAAGGTTTCTATAAGTACAGCCAATCGTTGTATCTATTGAAGAATTAAGTAAGTGTTTTACATGCTTTAAGAAATTTCTGGTAACGAAAACCGTGACTTAATAATTTTCCAGTAATACATTGTTTTCGGTCTTTGAAATAAAAAAACGTCACTACAAACACGGACATATCGAACGGGTTGTGATATATAAACACCGTATGACCGTGCCAAAGGAACATCACCGTCTAAAAGGGAAAATTAACAATAGGGAAAGACAAATCGTCCCTTTCTCGTAAATTTTAGTGAAAAGTTTCTCGTGTAAAACTCAAATATCTAAATATAGAAAAGGACAGTTATTGCTGATAACATTAGATTTATTTCAAGTCAGTTCCTTTGGGTAAATTTCGGCAGTATATTAAGGGAATTCTTTAACGAAAAAATATCAAGAAAACGACAAGTTTGTTGAATTTATCAATTAAATCGAATTTAAACGGGTCTTTACTGAGTTTGGCCATAAACTGTGATTCCGAACATTACAGGAACAAGACTGCTATTAACCTACAACCTGTCGATAAACTTTATTGCCGAAACGTACATAAATGTTGTCGAGGAGAAAATTTACAGCTTTAATTATCTCATCACACATCCAATAAGTATATCTAGCATATTAACCTTTCTCATTAGAGAAAAGGGCTTTATATGAGTTGCAGCAAATAAATTTGCAATCAGATACAGCAAACGACCATTTAATTAAAAAGGAAACTTTTGCTTGATAAGATTGTGTGGAAGTGTAGTGTAAAGAGTTGAAAAGTCAAAACTGTCAACAGAATCAAAAGGACCATCAAAAGTACATAATTTATCTAAAACATCCAAAGATGTTTTTGCGCTCCGTTAATTCCACTATTTTCATGTGTTTTATTACAAAAGTTAATGATAAGTTCTTTGATAGTAATTTAGCACTGAAAGATTAGTAGTAGAACACTTACTAGAGGCCGGATTTTTTGTGTAATTTAGCAAACAAATACATAGTGGGGACCTTCTTATGTTCAGAGGGGGCTTAAGCTGAGCTGTGGTAGTGACACGATTATTGACTATTTGACTCTCTGTGGTGCGTACGGCCTTGAATGTAGTTGATTGTACAATTTCATTCTTAAAGACTTACATGTAGTATTTACGTCATACCACCACCACATTGTTGGCTGCTTTCTCGCACGATACGAACACAAAACGCTTTGTGAGTACTTGAATTTTGTTTTTAATCCTAGAAATGGGCGTATTACTTTTCATTTATTTCTGAAATATTTTCGAAATGGAATTATTAGATTTGAATATCGATAAACTACTGCTTCCTTTGATATACCATCATTGAAGAGTAAGAGATGTAATGAGCGTATTGGTAAAGAAACATGAAACAACGTTCTCCGACGTCGGACGAGATTGAAGTCAGAAGAACACTGATGAAATACATAATATCATTACATATCTTAATGATGTCGGTGATAGCTAGGTTCAGACGAAATACACTAGTAGATGATCTTAGTTTCTTGCCCGTGAAAACAATAATGGTTATGATATTTGCCAGAAGGGCTACAAAGCACACAACATGATACAGAATCAAACCAGAGACTAACCGCATTTTGTTATAAAAGTTATAAATGCTTTGATCGAATGTCTGATTACTTTTCAAACAAGTAACATTTAGTATCTCCATCACACAAATAATACACAGAGCTCACGCAGTTAATCAATACTGAAATAGTAAACTGAAATAAAGCAACACTTGGAATAACTTAACAAATACAAAAAAAAAAAAAATATATCAATCATATTTTGTTCTTTAATTTGTTGCTTATATAAGAAACTAGGTGAATAGAAAATTATCAAGAAGCACTGAACTAGAGTTATCTTCAAATGAAATTAAAAGCACGGAATAATACAAAATATGGTTGTTGAATATGTAGACTTTTCAAAGCTACATACCTCAAAGCAGATTTCAACAGTAAAAACATTCATAAAGCATCTGCATTTTATCCTAAAAATATAATAAGAGGAGCATTGTATAAAGTGACAATTAATGTTGACAGTTTAACTTATGTATGAACGTAACCTTGTCTTACAAGTAAAAAAAAATAAATTAAAAAAAAAAAAAAAAAAAATGTTTTATCCCAGTTTTAGTAAGTGGTCTTCTGCTGATCTTTCTGTGCATTTAACAAGTTCTTTTACTAAAATCAAAGAACGAGTTATTAACTTTTATAATATAGCATGTGCAAATATGGAATAAATTATTTTAGGAGATTAAAACAATCTTCAGATGAATTCGATAAATTACGGGCTCATAATGGTTCTTTCAATCGCTACACAGCACTTC